ATTAAATTATGGATTGAGAAACAAACTGAAAGTAAGGCATTTGTGGTATGATTAAATTGAATAATAATATAATTAAAATAAATTTTGTTTGAACATTTATTATAGCTTAATAAAATATAAATGATTATAAAATTTTATATATTTTATAATTAAATAAGTTAAATATATTAAATATATATAAAATCATCACATTTTGATGTTGCCTCCTTGTCTTGCTGGTTCAATTTGGTCTCCTGGAATATTATATATTGGCGTTTCTTGCGCCTCTGGTTGGATATTTTCGGCTAACTACACTATTATTTAAAAAAAGTGTAGTTAGACGAAAATATTCAGCCGAAAATAGTAGATGTTGAACCAATAAAACATTCAATAAAATATTCAAGATCAACATGAATTTTTTTCTGTTAGCCGAAAATTTACTGCGCCTTCGGCTGAATTTTTCGGCTAACTACACCATTATAAACTCAGAATCCCGTAACCACATTATTTCCGACATTCATTATCCCGACACTTACTATCCTGATACGCTATTTTTTTTTATTACTTTTTTATAGACGTAATAAATATAATTTTTAAAATATCGCAAAATTATAATTTCTATTGTAAAAATTAAGAATTTTTTTAATATTTAACAATTTTAGCAAAAATAAATGTTTTTATTTATTTATTTTTTTATTAATATTTAATAATACATCGCAAAAATTAATGTTTTATTAATCTGTAATGATTTTTTAAATCACTTCGCAAATATGATTTGCAAAATCACTGCGTAAATATTAATTGCTGATCCGTTTAAAATCGGCACTTTTTTCGGGGTTAATTAACGGTTAAATTTAAGCAAAAATCACACAATTGTAAGAAAACTACATAATACTAGAGAAGGGAATAATTCATTATATATAATAAAAATTATATAATATATGTAAAAAAACCCAAGGAAAAATAATATGCTAAAATATTTGTACCTTTATTATTGAAAAAAACAACTTTACATTTCACGCGTGTCAGATTTAACTTTTATATGTGAATTTTGATAACTTTTTATTATATTATTATATTTAAATATCAACAAATGGCTTATAGCAACAATCAACCAACTTTAAATTACTAAAAAAAACTATTTATTAATTATTTAATTGTCAATTCGTTTAATATTGGCACAATTTTTACTTTTTTAGCATTATATATGCGGGGTGAAATTTAACGAAAATTGCATAGTTGGCAATAAATTCANACCCAAGGAAAAATAATATGCTAAAATATTTGTACCTTTATTATTGAAAAAAACAACTTTACATTTCACGCGCGTCAGATTTAACTTTTATATGCGAATTTTGATAACTTTTTATTATATTATTATATTTAAATATCAACAAATGGCTTATAGTAACAATCAACCAACTTTAAATTACTAAAAAAAACCATTTATTAATTATTTAATTGTCAATTCGTTTAATATTGGCACAATTTTTACTTTTTTAGCATTATATGTGCGGGGTGAAATTTAACGAAAATTGCATAGTTGGCAATAAATTCACAAATATTAAAACTGCGATAACTCAATATTTTTTAATAAAAATCATATAATATATGTAAAAAAACCCAAGGAAAAATAATATGTTAAAAAAATTATAACTTTACTATGGAAAAGAATGACTTTACATTGTACGCACGTCAGATTTAAAAGCTATATGTATTTTATATATACGATAGTGCCGTTCTTAAACGGATCGGCAATTAATGTTTTATTGTAAATTAATATTTTTTTTTATTAATATTTTAATTAATTTTTTTTAAAAAAAAAATCTAATCACGTGACAAACAGCGCCACAAAAATACAGAATTTGCACCACATAAATTGTGCAAAAAATCAATGTGACGGAAGTTTATTCCAAATTAAAAATTAAATATATATATAGAGTGAAAACGACAAAAACGTGAAGAAAAATAAAAATAAAATAAAAATATATTTTCAGACAAATTCTTTTATCTTTCCGATTAAAAAAAGCATATTACAGAAAGAAATAAAGTATAAAGAAATCTAACGAGAACTCGGTTCGGACTATTTTAACAATAGTAAATAAAGTATCGCGGTGCGATATGCTATATAAAAAACTCTTGATTTGAACAGCTGATTAAACGGTAGTCATGTAATTATATTAATCATGCTAAACTCAATATGCGCAAATCGGATTTGTAATGCAGAATAATTTCAATACACAAAGACTTCTTCGCATATAGTCATATAAATCAAGTTTAAACTATATTCTTGAGCAAGCAAATTTACTAATCAATATATACACAAAATAGGTAGTATATCGAACCGTGCTATTTAATCCGGAATTACACAATTTTTACTTAAATAAAGTATATTGACATCCAGAAATATATAAGAATGAAATATCCATGCATTGCGGAAAATATTAGAAAATTTACAATTACATACAAAAAATATACAAAAAAACGTTCAAAACAATCTTTTATTATTTTACAAGTATAAACTTGTTACATTATATTATTATATAATTAAAGTTAAAAGATTATTATAAAGGGTATTATTATTAAAGGTGTAATATATTAGCATATTGATAATTTTAAATCATGTTTGAAATCCAAACGTCACATTTGTTTGGAGATTACCAGTAAATTCCAATAAACATTGCACCGGAACTTTCTTCTCATGAACGGCTAATTCGTAGGTGGTTTCACGGTCACTAAATTTATGTTTCTAGAAAGCAAGGTAAATTTTAGTTAAATATATATTAATAAAGGTAATCCATTTAATTTACCTTTTTATCTTTTCTGAAAGTTAAAGTCCCGCTAGGTTTGCATCCGTGAAGTTTTGTTGTGACTTTCTCTAAAAGAAAATTCTTTAAGTTAATTAAATAAAATGCAGAAAATGTTTCTTGGTTGTATATCATACCATGATCTTTTATTCCAGTTCCATCCCATTTAACTTCAAGAATCAATTTATTTCCTTCAACTTTTTTGACTTTGAACAGCTGAGGTATAATACGCTTGACAATGTTGACATCCTTAGCAGTATAAGAGAAGTTAACGAAAAGAAGGAATGAAATAATAAAGATTAAGACAGACTGGCTACGAATATTCATTTTGATTTGATATTATCTTAAATTTGTTTTTGAAAATAAACGTGGTGAAATAAAGTGTTTATATAAGAAAATGTCTGTATACCACGTATAATAATTTCAAAATTTAATAGGCTGAACATAAGAATTTCATTAACCTACTTAAAATTGTAATCTTTTCTGCTTTACTGTATATATTTAATTTGAAGCAAATTTGACGAAGATTCATAATATTTTGCATGCGATCAGCTGATCCTGAAAATCTGAATTACATTAAAATTGTAATCTATTTACTTTGAAACAAATTTGTAATTAGTATGATTTATTTCATGGGGTTTTCCTAATCATAAATATATACTTCCTTGAAATAATCTTTACCAACTGAAAAATTCCAGATTCCTAGAATCCTTAATAAAATGAAAAGTGACGATTATACAGTATTCGACTTTATTTATAATCTTTAATATTACTGAAGATTTATTTTATTCAAAAAAAAAAAAAAAAAAAAATTTGGTATTTAATGAATTTAGCTTGCCTAAATATTTTCAATTCTCATTAATGGATCGACCTTATTCGAAATTTTTAAAAATAGTTTATTTAAGGGTATGATTTGACACATATGGTTATTGAATGAAAAAAAGCAAAAAAAAAAAATTATTATTACTGTTTTTTAGAGGTTTTTTTTTCTTTTTTTCATCTCCGAACACTATTAATGATATTTAAATGAACCCATTTTCGGGAATTCAATCTAATGATTGACATAATTAATTAATTATTGGGGTATGATTTTCGGGGTAATCGTACTATAATATCCATGTGAAATTCCACGTGATTTACTGAACGTCTATATAAACACAGTTTTACCGTTCTCATCATCAAAAACAAATTATAAACCTGAAATTAATTTATGAATATGAATCGCCAATATATATTCGTTATTGCATTTTTCTTTTCCCTTTTTCTCGTTACTTCTTCTACTTATTTAGAAGTAAAACAAGTAGTACCCACAACATTTACCGTCAATAAAGTTAATTCATCTAAAATTGTTGTAGGAATTTCATGGGATGGAACTAATGAAGCAGACGATGGTATGTGTACTGTATATATATATTTTATCTATCTATAAATAATTTCTAATCCAATTGAAACCTTATTTCAGAATATGTCTTAGCTAGACTTAAGTGTTTTGGCGATGCTGTGACTGTCTTAAACTCACCTCAGGTAAAATTGAATTAATTTACCGTATTTTTTATTATTAAAGCTAATTTTAAATTTTGTTTTCTAGGACCATGTATTTGGTGAACGTAATACTACCTACGAATTAGCCGTACACAAAAGTAATGCTTTGGTGAGGTGTAGAACGGGAGTTAAGGACATTGAGAGATGGTTAACTTTCTTTTATTTCCAAACTTGATCTTTACATTTACTTTTATATAATAGTGAATTCTTTAATTAACAATGGCATTAAATATTTTTATTTACACTTTTTACATTAATAAATTTCGCATTCTTAAAATTCATCTTCATAATACTTGACATTCATTTCAAGACTGTAACTCATTATTACAAATAATAAATCAAAAGGAAAAGCTATTGTAATAATTTATTTAACCGAAAATTTTAGTTAAATTATTCGAAAAAAAAAATGACAAGAGTCTTAGTACTCTTGGTTCTGATTTACGAATTCACGTACGTACATTTTCAAACATTAAATCTTTCGGCTATATTAGGCCACCAAAGCTTTATATTTTCGGTTCATGTAACACTGAAATTTAAAATCGAAACGGAATTTTCCTAGGTTAGGCAAAATTTTAAGGGTAATGTTATCACGTGATAATTTAATATTGATTTAAAATTTTATTTAACATAGTTGAAAACCTTCGTATGAAGTTGCAAATAGGAATATATATAGGCAATCTTGAATTTTATTGGTTACTAAATACTGTATATAATTATCATGCATATATTATCACATGATCAACATGACAACAAAACATCAACGTTCAAAATCCCGACAATCAGAATCCCGCTACAACACAAACCCAACGCTCACAATCCCGACAAATCATAATCCCGTAACTTCAGAATTCCGTAACCGACATTCATTATCCCGACTCTTACTATCCTGATTCCTGATACGATATTTTTTTTTTTATTACTTTTTTTATAGACGTAATATTATTGTAATATTTTATAATAAATATGTAATAATTTTTTAAAATATCGCAGAATTATAATTTCTATTGTAAAAATTAATAATTTTTTTAATATTGCAAAAATAAATGTTTTTTATTATTATGTTTTATTAATATTTAATAATTACATCGCAAAAATTAAGTAAACAATTAATGTTTTTATTAATCTGTAATGATACTTCGCAAATATTAATGTTTTATTGTGAAATTAATATATTTTTTTTATTAATATTAATGAATTAAATAATACATTACAAAAAATTAAGAATCACTTCGCATATATATTAATGATTTATTGTAAAAATGCAAATCATAAATTTTTGTAAATTTTATTTATTTGATTAATTTTTTTTTTTTTTAAAAAAAAAATCTTGCTTTTAAATTCGATATAATAATTTTTTATTTTTTTTAATATACTGATTAAAGATTTTTTTTAGAATTTCTATATTAATATGTCATTATATTTCAATTGCTAGGAGGATAGTTTCGGGATAATGAATGTCGGGTTTGTGTTGTAGCGGGATTCTGATTGTCGAGGTCGTAGTAAATCCCATAAATATTTACCTTGTGGATCAAAAATGGTAATCCACAAAATTTGGAACAAAAATTTTATACGACATCGACGTTTATTTTTTTAAATATAACTAACAACGTTCGTCCTCCGTCTTAGCAGAGAGTGTTTTTACCGACCTATACACACAGCACCAATACTGTTTTTATGTTCTTTTTTTATCCCTGACATTTTTCTGTAATTCTTCGTTTTAATAATTAGGAACAATATTTTTTTTTCATTTGCAATTAAAAAATATATGATTTTTTTTGATCTTTTATTATATAAGTCTTTTGATTTTTTACTTTTAGGCTTAAAAAATAAAGATGTCACATTGTTCTCTATCAAATCAGAATTGGTTTGAGGTATATATATGGGAAGAAAGTAACGCCAAATTGAACAGAAAGAATTGTGAATTTGTGATCATGTTCGTATTAGTCATTGACTCATTGTTAGTTATTATTAATTATTATTATAAAATCTTTTATTAATTATACTCATATTGCATCATGCTAGGTAATATTTTCTAATTTAATCAACTATTAGTCAAATTATCATTATATAAACTGAAATTCTTTATCGTTATAGAACTAATAGTCTTTTATTCTATCAGTTCATAAATTTGATTTTTTTTTTTAACCAAGATAATATATAAAAATATGACAGAAATTGGGCAAGATAATCCAATTGTTTTTTTAAATACTTATACACGAATTTTTGATATCAAAGATAAGTTTGAATATAGATATAAATTATGTAATGACAAATTTATATGTAGTTTGAAATTTAATAATCAATACTGGGAATCATCAGAGAAACCGGAAAAAAAATTAGCAAAAGAAGATGTTGCAAGAATTGTTATTAAAGAATTAATGATTCACGTTCCGGAAAAATTCAAACAAGTTGATAGATTATTGAGAAATACTGAAGCAAATGAATCAAAAAATGATATACAAGCCAATCTTGCTGGAGAAGGAAACAGTTGTAGTAGTGAATCAAAGAAAGATAAAGAAACTAGTCCTGCTGGAGAAAAAATGTTGACAAAATATGAAATAACAAAAATTGGAAAAAATTTAAATCCAATCATTTTTTTGAATACCTATACAAATAGGTTCGACATTAAAGATAAACTTCAATATGAATTCAGATCATCCAATAACAAATTTACATATAGTTTGAAATTTAAAGATCAATACTGGGAATCAGTAGAGAAACAAAATAAGAAACAAGCAAAAGAAGACGTTGCAAGGATTGCTGTAAATTATTTAATAACTCAAGATCCTGAGAAATGTGAACGAATTTACAGACTTTTAAGAACTGCCAAGCCTAATATAAAAGCAAGTCTAAGGTATCAAAACAAGTTAAAGCAACAAAAAAAGAAATGGCAGGCTTTATCATTTCAAAAAAATTCATAAAATTCTTTTATAATATCAAAAAATTCAATGATTCATCTTTAATAACTATTTCTACATTAGAAATAAATGAATAACTATTGTATAAATAAATTTTACCCAATATTCAAAATAAATAATTATGAAATTCATTCATATTGTTAGGTATTCCGCTACACGAAGGGATAGAGTTTCGGTGAGGTAGATAGGGGAGCTCTGCACCTGTGCCAACTACCACCCACTCCATATCCAAAGCTGTTAATTATAATGATTCACAAATGAATACATAAAAACAAAAGCTATGTTTGTTACACGTAAATATACTGTATTGAATTAAATTAGCTTAATTCTTCAACTAACTTTATTGACTTTTTTTTAGTTAATGATTAGTATTTGCGATTTGCATGTATTAATATTTGATATTATTTTATACCATATAAAAAAAAGAGTAATTAAAAATAAGTTGGTGAAAGGTGAGTCCGGTAATCAAACATTAGATATAAATATCTTATTGGTGGGCTGTGTTATAACCTCTCACTTTTGATTTGCAATACTTCCATTTAATAGTGAAAAATAATTTTTTTATTATGTATTATTGAATGTATTTTCATTTCTTGCACTGAAAAAGCAATTAACAATTTTTATTAAAAATGTGGAGACGTAGGTATATTAAGTTTCTCTAGAATCCAATGAACAATATACTTTCATAATTCTAAGAATATTATGGTTGAAATAATTATATAAAATATTTATATTGTTGAAACAAGCAATGATTAAAATTACTAGGAAATTCATTATAAAAAATAACAATTTCATGTATAACTCAGGATAACGATCAGACAAATTCCAATTTTGGCATACTAATCACAAAAGAGAATGTGGATAATTCAATAGTTGATTTATCTGTTAGTACTGAAATGACTTAATATTTTTAATAGTGTTCCTTCAGTAAACTCAGTAAACTTTAATGCGTATTTGCGTAACAAATTTATATAAAATTCTTCATCCAATATGGGCGTAGGCTCATTACTCATTAGACATTTGACAAAAATGCGAATATCATTCATTTACGGTGCGGTTGGTCAAAATTCTTGTACCACTAGCCAATACGATCTGCAACAGGTAGGAGAAATAAATACCGATATCAATTTGATCAAATTCAGAGGTTTCTATCATTTTGCCGATCTTTTTTTTTTTTTTTAAAAGTACGGACATAATAAACAAAATCAAATGTAAAATCTGAATTGAACATTATATATTTAGTAGGTAGATAATCATATTCGTATGAGCTTTATTATATAGTGAGTTGCGTTTAACCTTGTATTATGAAATTTCCTTTTATAGACTCTGACAAAGCGATTTAAACTTTTAAAGAAATTTGGCGGTTAATTAAATATATCGGAAAATATTCATCTTTGAAATTCAGGAAGACGGACATGATGATTCTCACCTTGAAGCGGTACTTTTTTCGCTTATATTCTAGCTTTAGAACTCTAGAAGTCGTAAAAGCACGATTTGCAGTAGATAAAAGAAATTGAATATCAAGGATCAATTATCATTAAGTACGATTTACATTCTGCTCCGGAAAAACTCTAACACCCCGAATATACGCTAAATTATACAGATCTTTCCTTTATGGATAACAATCCAGTTCTGAACGATGTGCTACCTATTTACGTACGTAACTATTTTAGTGAACATTATTTTTTTCCCACCATAAAACAATTAATAATTTCATTATTTTCTTGTTTTGAGAAAATTGAAAGCATTTATTATAAATTATTAATTTTATTATAAGCTTTGTAAGCATTAAACTCATTACATTAGATAGTTATTCATTCCCACAATATTATCAACGTAAATTGGAATACTAGTTTTGATGGATACAGGCCCCATAATTAAACTTCTGGATGACTCTGATTTTGAATCTAATGATAATGAACAGAAATGGGATAACTTGTTGAAGCGGTGTATTAATGCATCGAAATCTGATTTGGATGAATTCCTTGTCAAACTTTCAAGTTCTCTTGATATATACCTATCAAAACTAAAAATCTTTACATCCTACCTCCGCAAAAAATATTTACAGGTCGCTCCTGTTAAGAATGTCTTGTTTGCTAAATTCATCTCACTTTTAATCACCATTGTCATCACGGAGAACCTGCACAAATCCGACATCTTTGGTTTCAGTGAACTACTTCACGATTGTATTGTACTTCTCTGGTGGGCTGGTAATAAAGATAATAATGAACCAAATTCGGTCTTTAAATTAATTAAATGTACTTTTGGTGCAATCATGGATGCAAAAGTCCTGGAGGTTTTGATTTCAGAGGTATATGGTTATCGTTGTCTTATGCGAATACTGTTTGACTTCAACATGATTAATCAGATTGATCAAAGAGATCTGCTCAAGGCGGTGGATTTAGTTGCTGTCTTTGTGGGAAAATGTCCTGAACATAAAAATGACTTATTATTGTCAGAGGGCTATACCGTATATAAGGCTTGCAGTGCACTATTGGAAACCCTACCACCCATGTTCAAAATTAATAATGATGAACAACATTGGAACGGGAGGCGAGCTGATGTGCCTTTATCCATTAAAGATAAACAAAATCTCGCATTATTAGGAATGAAGATGCCTCAAAAGACATCAGATTTACCTCACTTTTTGCGAGCTATTGAGCAACGGAAAATAGATTCATTCAAGGTAAATATATTTTTTTTAGTCGATTAACTTCTTTTATCACAGGAATTCTTTGATAAATTGACAACTTCAATTAGGATTTAATGGGATTCTTTCCATGTACAAGTTGCCATAAGCAGGCACTTAATAATATTGCTCCCGATAAATACTTTTTTGAGTCAGCACCACCAAGGTGCTTTCGTCTTCCGTTTGATTTTAATGATGATGATAAACTTGGGCCATGGGATATCTTGCTTAGCAAAGATACAATCAAAGACTTGCAACAGTTGGAATCAAGTCCTGATTTAATTAGGAAAATTATAAAGAAACTCGGGCAAATATCGTCTGGAGCGTGGAATAAACATGAATTACGACGTATAGCAGTGCGAACTAGTGATAAAATACATGTCCATAGTATTATTCCTATTTACGAGATAGTACTTCCAGATAATGGACCGAAGATCCTCTGGCAGGTTGATTATGGATTCTCTATTCGTAGCAACTTATTCACACAGCAAGTTAAGATTTGGGCTGTTACCACTAATATATACCGAATCGAAATGGTATTAAAAAACCTCTCAATAGTTCATCAAGTTTATACTCCAAAGCAGAGACGTTGGTGTACGGTCAAACAAAAAGATGACATGATTTTACCAATGATTCTTGGGGATGAAGAAGATACAGAAGAAAGATTATGTAGCTCAAGAACGGATGAGGAGTTGATGATGATTCATGAGATGCTTGTTACTAATAAGTTTTTTCCATTATCAACGGTAAAGTATATATACTATATTGTTGATGATATAGAAATATTTGAACTAGAATTTATTTAATAGATACTGATCTTGTAGAACTTGTACAAGTCACTCGTCTTTGGTGGTCTTAAATTTACTTTCCAAGTATCCAAGAAAGAGTATGAAATTATTAATTGTCCTACGTCAGCGATCATTATTGGTCGATCAGGTTAGTTGAATCATTTATAACTGAGAACTTAGTTTACTCTTTTATTTGTTTTTTAATACAAGTCGAATATTTAGGGACTGGCAAGACTACATGTATTTTATATAGGCAGATAGCTTCATACTTAAATAGCCAAGACCATAACAGAAATTTTTACAAAAGACAGATATTTATTACAGTGAGTTTACCCTTTCGTCGCAAGGTGAAGAAAGATTTTAACATGATGCTAGAATCCGCGGTACATGCTGGGAAAATGATGACTATGGCGCAGTTTTACGAATATAGAAAAAAGAAAGAAAAAGAAAGTGCTTCCACTTCAGTAATGCACGAAGAGAGAGATGATGAGAAGGATTTAAATAGAATTCCAGACACATTCAATTATTTACAGCTGACAGATGAATATTTCCCTTTGTTTATTACTTTCGATAAGTTTTCTAAAATGCTTCAGGGAACCTTCGGCATTAACGATCATGATCTAATCGTACAAAAAAAATTGGATGCGGATAGTATTGATCCATGTATTAAGAATAATAGCCAAAGACCTTCTTTAAATAAATCAGATGAGGATTACGATATCTTTAAAGCAAGGTATTGGCCCTCCCTTAGTGATTATTGTAAGCGAAAATTTGAGTGCGAGTTGGTTTATTCTGAATTTTCTATTATTAAGGTAAAAAAATCAGTAAATTAATAATTATTAGATATATTTAACCATCTATTTATACTATTTCTCTCTTATTCTTTTTTTTAAAAAAAATAAGGGTACAAATCCTGAAGTGGATTTTCTATCAAGAGAGGAATACAGAGACATCAGTATCAAGAAATACCCAGTATTTTGCTACAATCGGGATCAGATTTATGATTTATTTCAGCAATATGAAAAGATGAAGGTGCGAAAACGTGATTATGATTCGATGGATCGGTAAGAACAAATAATATAATTTTTAAGTTATTAAATGAATTTTTAAATTAAAATTATCGGGACCTTTTGCAGAACGTTAGCTATCTTTCGTTGTGCTAAAAAAAAAGCACTAAGTAGCCTAAATATTCATGAAGTATATATTGACGAATGCCAAGATAATCACATTGTAGATTTAGCACTTATCTTAAAGGTTTTTGACCGTGCTAATAGTATTTTTTTAGCCGGAGATATAGCGCAATGTATCTTTAAAGGATCTGCTTTCCGATTTCAAGGTATTTATTAAAGATTTTTTTTTTTATTCTCCTAAATTTCTTAATGATCTTTTAATGATATAGATTTAAGAGCCTTGATGTATCAGTGGGAGCTTACTCGGAACCAAACCAAACATCATGATAGCATTGTAAAACCGAAGCAATTTGATCTGAATGTTAATTACCGATCTCATAATGGAATCCTTCAACTTGCTGCTTCAGTTATTGATCTTATTAAGCGGTTTTTCCCTGATTCTATTGACCATGATTTATCACGTGAACGTGCAGAGATCGGTGGTCCAAAGCCTATTGTTGATGGTGAATTTAATAAGAATTCCTTCTCTACAGTTAAATTCGGTCATTCCCAGATTATTATTGTACGTGATGAAGAAGCCAAATCACGTTTGAAGAAATTAATCGGTGAAGGTGCACTGGTGATGACTGTGTATGATGCAAAGGGCAGGGAATTTGACGTTGTGATTCTATATAATTTCTTTACCGATTCGCTTGCACATCGAAAGGTATAAATCATGTACTATTTATCGCAAATCATTTGAGACCATTATTAATTATCGTTTGATTATTTTTAGTGGCGAGTAATTCTTTCTGCTTTAAAAGAAATTTCTGAGGGTGTTCAGACCTTCTCTCACGAGAAACATTACATTCTTTCTTCAGAGCTCAAACATCTTTATGTTGCAGTAACCAGAGCTAAGCAGCTTCTCTTTATATGTGACGAAGATACTGAGTATAGTATGCCAATTCAAAAGTACTGGAATCATTTTGGGCTAATCGAGATCCAAAATGTAGATAAAAGAACCCTTTTCACTTATGCTAAGGAGAGCGATTCGTGTGAGTGGGACGAACAAGGAAAAGACTTTTTTGAACAGCGACAGTATGAACAAGTAGGATCACTCTTAAAATATTATATGAAAATTACAACTATAAAAAATTACTATTTTATTATAGTTGACTAAATAAAATTAAATTATTATTTTAGGCTGTTTTTTGCTTTGAAAAGAGTGGAAATGAAGAGAGGCATAAATTAGCCAATGCATATTATCTTCGGCAAATTGCTAAGAAATCTATAAACGATTCTAATGATGATACTATAAAGTCAAATTTCATTCAAGCAGCTATAGCTTTTAAAGAGTGTCCTCGGCCAAGCGAGGCGGCTTCATGTTATCAGGTAAAATCTTTAATGTATTTATGATAATTAATTATTTATATTTACTTCAAGCCTAATATTTACAAATTCGTAAATTTCCAGGATGTTAGTATGTACGAAGAGGCTGGTGATGTTTTTTCCGAATATGATATGTTTGAATCTGCTGCACACAATTATCTCAAGGCCAATAAGTGGAACAAAGCGGGTGATAATTTTGAAAAGGCAAAGAAGTATGATGATGCTGCACTCACCTATAAAGATGGTTGCCTTTATAAAACTGCAGCTGATTTTATACTGAAGTGAGCTAGATTTTATTTCATCCATTTAAAATTATAATTTACTTAAGAAAATTGTTATCTAACACTTATTTAATATTTCAAAAAGATACAGACAAAAAATTAACGATAAGACGTTTGAGCATGTTGCTTATCATGTCAAAGAACATTATCATACTACCGCCATTTCGTGTGGTGGATATGAAGAAGCTGTTGAAATGTATATAAGATTAATTGATAACGAAGAAGATATTAGCGAGACATTAAAGTTCATCTTGTATGTATGCAGAATTGATATATTAAGAGAAACAATGTCACGTATTACAAGTTCTAGTACCCTAAAAAAATATCTTATAAAGTCGAAGGAGCTTATCATGAAGTATAAATTACAATCGACGAGGAAATTCGAGGAATGGAACGAACTAATAGAAGAGTATAATTTATATTCAGCTTATTTAGATAAGGATGTTGATAAAGTTCATAAATGTATACTTTTTTTTAAGTATCGTAAAAGAATTGCTACTGAGTTTCATGCAGTAAACATATGGCTACAAATTCTTCCACAATTATCTGGTATTCAGGCCAAGTATCAGCATCGTGAACGACTTCAATATCTTCTATGGATGTGTGAATTGACCTTTTCTTTAATTAATAACGTCGACACTGAAAATGAATATCAGATAAAAAAGAATTTTGAAGACATTTTCTGTATAATAGGGGTGAATGATTCGAAAAAACGACAAATTCCATTTGCTAACCCACTCCTCGATTTTGCAAGCAAAATAAGCAAAATTCACAAAACCAGAATAGATGACGCAGAAGAAGCCATGAATCATCATTATAAGTTGAATGATGTATACCAGAGAATTTCACAATGCCTTACCCTACGTATTTTTGAGCTCATCAAGAATGCCGACCAAAGGGGTAGAGATATCCCAGATATAAGTTCTCAAATTTGTCATATGTTAGCATCCTGTCAGAAATCAGATTGCCGGAACCACCATGTGATACCAACACCATCAATTCTGTATCAACGTCTGGAATTTATATTTTTTCACTACACTGTAATGATGAAGTTCGATGTTAATGCACTGGAAGATAATCATCTTAAAGATAAGCAAATTATTAAAGAAGTTCGTAACTTACAAGAGTGGTGGGCTGAAAGACTGGTTAAAATTCATATCCGCTATAAATCACCACAAATAAGCTGCCCGGAGGCCACTTGCATGATTCTTGCTAAATTTCCTGCATACACACGAGATAGATTTATTTATTTTGCTCGCAAGACATGGTTGATTGATTTTAAGTACATTAATAACTTTGAAGTTATGTTGAAATGCGTGTTCGTTTTTCAGCGGCTACAAGACAGGCAGAGCATTAATAAGATCAGTTGGGAAATGTCAAGATTAAAAATTCTTTCGCATTCCAAAAATTTACCTATTGGATTTGAGTACTATAAAGGACATCACAAAGCAATACCGATTGGAAATCGACTCTCATCATTCTTCTTATATCTTTATTTCAATGATGTGATCAATGCAATTTCAAATATAAAAATATTTATTCAATATGCTATTAATAACGTCCAATCGGTTAATCTTATTACGTCTGATGCTTTTGATGATCTTGTATCTCTTATAGAATTTACCGTATCTTTAATTTTTACGATTAAACCTGGATATTGGGACTTTTATATTCCTCGAGCTTATCTGATTAATTATTTTGAAGCATTCAATATAGAGCCACTCATTCCAGGCCATCAACGTAATTGTAACACAGTGGATTATCTAGTCATGATCAAAAATTCTTTTGAACAAATCCAACAGCTTCTTAACTTTCTTATTTGTGAAGAAATGGTTTACTTGTCAATTATTCTTCGCTTGATACGTCTTTTGATCCTTATGAGTATGAATGAGCCAAAATTTACTACAAAGGTTATTATTTTTTTCAAATATTTGAATCGCAAGGTTTTTTCCGCAAAAGTTAAAAAATACCTGGAACAGAAATCTATGGAACAGCTTATTGATGTTTTGTGTAATGATCTTGAGGAAACAAGTCTTGATTCCCTGATTATTGTTCATTATCATGTAGAAGACGCGAGGGTTTTGTCAAAATTTTCTAATTTAGAGAAAAATGGTGTGATGAAGCTTACATATAAATCTATTAAAGAATTCCATTCTGCTCTTCAGAAGATTAAACCATCAATAAATTTTCGGGAAAGAGGTACTATCGTAAATAAACTTCAAATGTGGTTTCATGATCTTTCTCAATCTCAAAATGCAATTAGAAAACTTCAAGATTGGTTTCGCAGGATAAAAACAATTAGAATAATTCAAGCTTGGAACCATCGACTAGAAGCTACCAAGAAAATCCAAATCTGGATTCGCCGAATTTATAAACGTGTAAAATCACGCAAACCTTATTATGACCCAATGCCAGATAAGATTTATAATGACGTGACAAATTTCTGCAAAGTTATTACGAAAGAGATAAATAAAAAATCAGTGAGAATGTATATTATTTTATTGAAGGGCAAGACCGTAGATGTAGTTGTGGAGCTGATTAGGTTGTATAGGCGAATAAGAAAATTTGCTAATAATGTATCTCCGGATAAAAACAAAAGTAACCAATGTTTGAAATTAGAAGATGAACTAAGGTTGGTTAATATTTGGAATGTTTATTATTGCTTTTCTTTGGCTAATTCAGTAAACTTTGTAAATAGGAATTATCGTAATAAAGTTGAACAGACATTGAAATCATTATCAATAACTGAGAATTCAGCTAAGCACAAAAAAATAGATATTAAATGGTTGAATAATAAACTGCAAGAGGCAAATGATATCATCAATCAGTTTCAAAAATGGATAGATGAATATAAGTATGAAGTTCGTCGGCTAGAAGCTACTAAAAAAATCCAAGTCTGGATTCGCCGGGTTTATAAACGTGTAAAATCACGAAAACCTGATTATGACCCGATGCCTGATAAGATTTATAATGATACAAATAATTTCTGTAAAGTTATTACGAGAGAGATAAATAAAAAATCAGTGAAGAAGTATAATATTTTATTGAAGGGTCAGACGGTTGATATAGTTGTGGAGCTGAATAGACTGTATAGACGCTTTATTAATAATTGCTCTCCAGATATAAACAAAAGTAGCCAATGTTCGGAATCGGAAGATGAACTAAGGTTTGTTAATACTTGGAATTTTTATAATGGTTTTTCTTTAACTAAGTTCGATGAAATTTGTGATTTAGGAATCTTCATAAGAAGATTGAACAGGCATTGAAATCACTATCAATAACCGAGAATTCAGTAAAGCACAAAGAAATAGATATTAAATGGTTGAAAAATGAGTTGCAGGATGCGAAAGATATTATCAATCGGTTTCAAAAATGAAATGAAATATGATTAGGACTAATTTAGTCAGACATAATGTTTATCTTGATCATAATTATAATTTGGTTTTTTGGAATTATTTCCGTATCCATTATAATTTTTAAGTAATGTTTCTTTAAATTTTGATGGTAACAATTAACATTTATAAATTTATAAAGTGAATATTATATAGTTATTGGGTAAGAAGTATTCAATATGAAGATTTATGACCGTCGATGTTAAATGATTGGCCGTTATTGTGCCACGTAGTGGCACAATGGCCAATCATATAATGTTGATGGTCAAAATGGTAATATTGAATACTTCTTACCTAATAATGATTTTATTGTGGCAGACCACCAAGATCATGTTTTAAAAGTTTATTTAAACTTTCTTTTAAATTTCAATTTTTACGCGTCTTTTTCTTTACGCGTTTAAAAGTTTATTTAAACTTTCTTTTAAATCCACTCATTTGTACACATTTTTTCTTTACGCGTTTTTTCTTTTACACATTCTTTTTTATATACACTTTTTAAATACCCTACTTTTTCTTTACACATTTTTTTCTTTCAACCTATTCTATTATTTATTTTAATAATGAAGGAAAAAACTAACAAAAATAAAATAAATAATGATAAAGTATGTTGTTATTATTACCAAAATATTGTTATATTAATTTGCTAATACAATATTTTCTATTCAAGTTTTATTTACCTACAGAAGACGAAATAAATTTTTTCAAAAAGAAGTCAAGAGTAGTAAATACAGATAAATCCACAGCAAATTGGGTTCACCAATTTGAAAACTTTCGTGAAAAAGCTGGATTTACTGGTAAAAGCATAGATATTACTGATAGAAAGGAATTAGAAAGTCAAATCTGTAGTTTCGTAACAGTTATGAAGACTAATTCTGGTGAAGAATACAAGGCTAGATCTATCCTCAGTGCTATACATGCATTAAACCGACATTTAAATGATTTATCATCACTATCTCCAATGGATTTTACTTCAAGAAAACAATTTCCAATATTATATGATGTATTAGATGGCAAAATGAAACATGTAGCAGAACAAGGAAAGGCCAATGTTCAAGGAGCTGATGGTCTTTCTGTTGAAGAATGTAAAAAAATACTGTATTCACCAGTATTAAACATTGACACACCCACTGGATTGTTAAAAAAAGTCTTTTTTTTAAATGCATTATTCTTAGCTCTTAGAGGTGGTGAGCACTATTCATTACAATATTCTCATTTTAAGTTTAGAGCTGATGGTCAGGGTTTTGATGTAAATATTCCTCGAAGTAAAACAAATCAAAGGGGTATTAATGGCTCATTAAATGATGAAAAATTAAGAATTCTATATCATCCAATGATAATGGAAACTTATAACAAATATTTTTCTAAAAGACCAGGTAATGCCGATAAAGAATTCTATTTAATAGAATATGTGTCTGAAGATGGTGAGTTCAATGTACTTTATCATTTTATGCTATTTTTTTCAGTAATATGACATTTATTAGTTAACTTATTTATTTATTTATAGATTATATTATTTATAATCGTTGGTTTCAAAAGTTTCATGTTGGTGAAAAGCGATTAAAAAATTTTTTACATGAAATTGTAATAGAATGTGGTATTGATATTGGCAATCGAAAGATCAGCAACCATAGCGCCCGAAAAAGTTTAGTAGGAATATTGAAAGAACTTGGTACTAGTGACAATGAAGTTATGGCAATTACCCGGCATAAATCAAATTCAGGATTTACTAGCTATGAAAGAACTAAAGAAAAAATGCAGAATGTTAGTTTAAACAACTTAATGAACGTTCTTATAGATAATGATCAAATGGAAGGCTCGGGTGAGTTTTAATTTTAATTTTTAAATTGATTTTCAATATACTAATTATACAATATGGAATTTTAGATGTTTTAGAACCTTTGCCACATTTTTCAATGCCAGATAAGCAAGCATTAACACCAATTGAACTTAAATCAACTTTTACTAGTGCACGCGAAATTTTTAAAGGTAATTTATTAATAGTTTGTTTTATTTTATTTTATTTTATTGATTTCTATTAATAAAATTAGCTGAAATCAATCAAGAAAGCCGAATTCCATTTTCTAACAAATCCAACAAATTGACAATAAATGAAACTGAAACTTTACAGGATATTTTTAAAGGAAACGGATCAATTTTCAATAATTGTACATTTGTATTCAATAGATAATACTAATATAGTTTAAGTAACAGTTTTTCAAATTGCTGTACAGTATTAAGCTAAACTAATGTAAATGATATTTGGTAAATGACGTAATGCGTTAGCAATATTGAGCGGAAATTAAATAACATGATCCTATAGGGATGCCCAATAAAATAAATTATTGAAATTTTATCATTTAAGCTATAATATAAAGTGAGTGTTACTATGATAAAGAATATTATCATCTTTTTTTTTTGATTTTTCTTCAATATATTTTGACGATTTTCTATGGATCAGAATGACAAATGTTATTAACAAAGTAAAAAAGCTTGAAATTTTTAATAAATGAATATTAAATTATATTAAATTGTCTACCTTTGTGATATGAGAATTAATAATTGCTTTAAGGAAAATTTTTAAAATTTAGCCGGCTACGAGTCCCGAAAAGAAGAAAAGATCCTAAAGAAAATACTCTCTATTATAAGTTCATTCGTTCAAAAAGGTCGTTCCTAAAAAAATGAATAGTTTTTTTAATAATCAATAAACGTTAAATGTGTCATAATATGGCACGTTGTTCGGTTATTGAAACAATGAAACAAACAATAACAATGAAACCAATGTTTAATATGATAATACTCAAAAGATGGCTTAAAAGTATCGCACATGACTGTTAGATTTGATAACATATCATTTTATTAGTTCCTAGTATATTGAATCAATAAGTATAAAAACAATAAATTATAAATTTAACCATAAATATAGTCAATTGATCATTGACTTACTTCATATGATAATTTAAAGTCCTTTTTTTGTATTTATGCATTATTTACTTACTTTTTTTTTATCAATATATGTTATATATGTTCCATTTTTTTCTCTGCTGAGTGTCTATAAAATGCAAATGCTCTGATTTCATTGTTATAGACACCTTTTCCTCGCTGGTTCATAAAGTTCACCCAATTTATATAATGAAACTTTATTATTATCCTAAACTACTTTATAATAACAATAATTTTTTAAGGATTCTCCCGTCTTCTATAAAGACTGCCTTTGGATCATTTCGAGGGGTTTTCTAACCCGCATTAATCTCGTTGTAGTGCATACTATATTTCATAAATATTACAACACTATATATTATTTCAAGTTTTTTCAGAATCAACTTGATCTATTGTAACGGCTTCTTCAACAGGATTAATCTGTTTGCTGTGGCGTTAATTTCGGCGTTGTTGGTGTTGTCATTGGTTTGCTGTTATCGTAAATAGAGATACAAGTATCCTAAATTTGTGGGGCTATGCAAATTTTACAAGGCTTGTTTGTAAGGCTTAGAAAAACAAAAAGATATTTATACGGGTAATCTATGCTCTTACTTTTTTGCTATTTCAAATATAAATCTTTATAATTTTTTTTTTTTTTTTAAAAAAAAAATGAACCAGATTATCACCTAATATTCACAATATTCATGAGATCTCAAATATCAAATGAAAAACTTAAAGTTTTCCAAAATAATTATTATTAAATATTCTTGATAATTTGGTTATTATAATTCAATAATTCAAAAAATTTTCTTTTTCAATCCTTTAAAACTTAACACAAATCTTCACATTCTATTAGGAAAAAAGAAATATAAAACATATGCGTTTAGATAAGAAAGGAAAAGATAATATATCCCAGAACGCCTTCATGGAACTCAAAGACATTACATTTGATTCCTATATTAACAAAGACAACATTGATATAGAAAAAATCACTTTCATCAGGCTATACACTAAAGATTATGGCGGATAACTTTAATGAAT